TATGTGGCAGCTTCTCGTGTTTCTATGTTCCTAAAGAGGTGGGCTTTTTAGCTTAGGCACCAGAGTGTTCACAAGACATCTCATATGCCATTGCTGGCGCCATTGTCCCCTTCCGTCTTTAAAATCCTACTGTCTGCAAGAACAATACTGAGCTTTCCCACATGGTGAGCAGATAACAACATGTTAACATCAGTTAATAAGCTGTGCTTGGCCCTATACAGAATTCCTGTGGATTTTGATGGAAATTATAGGGACTGGAAGACCAGCTCTGACCGCTTCGATGTTCTTTATGCTGTGGGCAACACAATTTCATGGGCTGCAATTGTTGGCTAGGCGGGATGGAGGGGAGCAGACGTGCCATAACAAAGCACAGGTCTATTTGCATCAGGCAGTGGGGGCAGGGATTTCATACAGACCCATCATGTTTTCCAAACAGCATTTACCGTTTTCCTAATGCATAATAAAACAAACAAACAAACACAGATTGCAACCTCATGCTTAACAACAACAACAACAACAACAATATCAATTCCAAGAGGCTATGCAAGCCATACAGAGGTGAAGCAGCTTGCTCCTGCAATGAAGTGTAAAAGACTACTTTGAAAGGTTAAGTGAGTATTGTATACCTTTAATTCATTTCTAATAAATGCTGTTTTGTTTTTGTTTTTGTTTTATTATTATGCCACCCATCTGACTGGGTTGCCCCTTTTGCTGCTCCTCTTTGCTGCACCAAGAAGATAGGCAGCAGTTATCTCAGTATCCCTCATATTGTGTAAGGAAGTTCCCACAAAGGTCAGACTCTCTGCAATAAAGAAAGTGATGGGGAAATGCACTGGAAAGTGTTAGATCACCCTTGATTGATGTGATATCATCTAATCTTCCTGCAAACAAATGAAAACAAATGCTCAATAAACAGGTTCTCTGGAAGCACCCGAGACACAGCAGCAGTTCTTATTTAAAACTCAATATGAAGATCTCTTTTATGGGGACCCCCAAAATCCCACCAGATTCCCACCAAATCCCACCCTGTCTCATAACAGAGACAGCCCTGAATTTACCTCACCACACCTATGGAATAGGGACACGGGTGGCGCTGTGGGTTAAACCACAGAGCCTAGGACTTGCCAACAGAAGGTTGGCAGTTCGAATCCCCGTGACGGGGTGAGCTCCCGTTGCTCTGTCCCAGCTCCTGCCAACCTAGCAGTTCGAAAGCACGTCAAAGTGCAAGTAGATAAATAGGTACCGCTCTGGCAGGAAGGTAAACGGGGTTTCCGTGCGCTGCTCTGGTTCGCAGAAGCGGCTTAGTCATGCTGGCCACAAGACCCGGAAGCTGTACGCCGGTTCCCTCGGCCAATAAAGTAAGAGGAGCGCCGCAACCCCAGAGTCGTCCACGACTGGACCTAATGGTCAGGGGTCCCTTTACCTTTACCTATGGAATAGAACATTTTTCAGTCACTTGTTTCACTTCTGCCAGACAGATGCACACATGCCAATGTGCTGGCAACCATTAGTTAGTAACAATGGAAGTAGGTCATGCTGGTCAATAGGGTCAGTTTCCTGCAGGCCCAATATGTCTCTCCTGTCTCTCTCACCCTTTGGGGTGGGAGCATTGCAACAAAAAGATCTTCTGTCTCTTTTATCCAGCCTGGAAGCAGCACATTGCTTTACAAGGAGAATCCGGACCAGCCATTTCCCTCATAACACATGGGAGGGTACCATTCTGGGTGGCACCTTTGCCAGTTGGCTTCCAGACAGGCAAAGCTTATTCATGTTTCCAAGTCCCAGCCAAGTTCAGCAATGAAGCCTGGAATGTTTGAAAGTGGGAGGGGGGGGGGGAGGACTGGGAAAACATCCAGGACACACTGGGTAGTTTTGTGCCAGGAAGAGAATGGATATGTTTGTTATTTATTTCAGAGACAGTGTGAAATGTGTGTGAGAGGCTGCTTCCAAACTGGGCATTTACCATGGAATAGCCATACTTGTTTCATTCACAGGGCATCTGCATGACGTGGTGAACAAAACATCATTCTCTCGTGTTTTCCCTGTTCAATGTCTGTTCCCCCAGAGCTCAGAAAATACAACTTTTTTAACTGCTTGGAATAGCTGCATAATTTATTCAGGCATAAATGGCCTATTGTGCAGTTATTCCAGCCAATAAGATTGCCCTAGAATTTTTCTAGTTATACTCCTTCTTTATATAATAATGATAATAATAGTCTGTCTCTCCTCTCTAAGAATCAGCTCTATCACTTTAACCCTTCCCTTTCTGAATGCAATGGCTGTTATCTGTGATTCCCAACTCCTAATTGCAGCATGGGAGAAATCATGGTGGGGGGGGGGAGCAGTGTTTAACCCTTTCCTCCCTCACAATGGTCCCAATGAAAATTGTGGGGGGGGCAACATGTGAGGCTGGGTAAAGCAAGACTGACAGATGAGCTGAAATAAGGAGTTTACAGATGAGCTGAGATTTAAGAAGGGTGTGTATAAAAATGGAAGAAAGGGGAAAACACAAAGGAAGAGAATACATGAGTAGTCAACAGTTGCAGGGTGCAGCTCAGGCTGGCTAAAGCTCAGAAGGAAGGCAGGTTTGCAAGAGAGGTTAAAAATAATTTTAAAAGTTTTTTTGGCTGTGTTAGAAACAAGATGATGAAGAAGCAAGTGGTAGTTCCTCTGTATGGAGAAGACAGAGAAATGCTATTGGGTGACAGAGAGAAGGCAGAACTACTCAACACCTATTTTCCTCTGTATTCACCCAAAAGAAAAATGTAGCCCAACCAGGTGATAACAGAATGATGTAAGGAGTGAGCTGCATCCCAAGATATAAAAAGAGATAGTAAGGGAACACCTAGCTACTTTAAATAATTCAAATCTCCAGCACCTGATGAGCTGGACCCAAGGGTACTAAAGGAGTTTGCAGATGTAATCTCAGAGCCTTTGTCTATGATCTTTGAGAATTATTGGCGAACAGGTAAGGTCCCTGCAGACTGGAGGCAGGCAAATGTTGTCCCCATCTTCAAAAGGGTGAGGGGACCCAGGTAACTACCAACTGTGAGCTTGAGTTTAATACCACAAAATGTCCTAGAACACATAATTCAACAGTTGGTCTTTGAGCACTTAGTAAAGGATGCTGGGATTACTAAAACCCAATATGGGTTTTTCAAAAATAAGTCATGCCAGACAAATTTCTCTTTTTTGTGGAATTACAAGCTTGGTGGATTAGGGGAATGCTGTGGATATAGTGTATCTTTGATTTCAGTAAGGCTTTTGACAAAGTCCCCTGTGATATTCTTGTGAGGAGGCTGGTAAAATGTGGATTAAATGAGGTAACTGTTAGGTGGATTTGTAGCTGGTTGGCTGACCAAACCTGAAGAGTACTCATTAATGGTTCCTCATCATGCTTGGGAAAAACTGACAAGGGGAGGTTCTGCAGATTTCTGTCCTGGACTCTTTATTGTTCAGCATCTTTATAAAGATGGATGAAGGAATTGAGGGGATGCTCATCAAATTTGCAGTTGACACCAAACTGGGAGGGGTAGCTAATGCCACAGAAGACAAAATCAGGATTCAAAATTACCTTAAAAGATTGGAGAACTGGGCCCAAGCTAACAAAATGGGCTAACCAAGAACAAAATTTCAATAGGGACAAATGTAGGGTTCTGCACTTATGCAGGAAGAATCAGATGCACAAATGATCAAGGGTTTGGAAACCAAGCCGTATGAGGAACGGTTGAAGGAGCTAGGTATGTTTAGCCTGGAAAAGAGGAGACTGAGAGGAGATATGATAGCCATCTTGAAATATCTCAAGGGCTGTCACATGGAAGAGTGAACAAGCTTGTTTTCTCTTGCTCTAGGGGTTAGGACCTGAACAAATGGCTTTAAGTTACAAGAAAGGAGTTTCCAACTAAACATCAGGAAAAACTTTCTGACAGTAAGAGCTGTTCAACAGTGGAATGGTCTCCCTTAGGTGGTAATGGACTCCGTCTTTGGAGGCTTTTAAGTAGAGGTTGGATGGCCATCTGTCATGGATGCTTTAGTTTAGATTAACCCCTGCAATGCAGGAATCTAGACTAGATGACCCTTGGGGATCCCTTCCAACTCTACAATTCTATGATTCTGTTTCCACTAGGGAAGTCTGAAGTTGCTATTCCACTTCTAGGTTGAAGCAGAACAGCGACAATTGGATGCTGCTATATCACGTCACTAATGTAGCACCTGCAAGTGCCACGTGTGCCCACAGAAGCCTTGCTTGGTGCCTACAGAGTTGCATTGACCCACTGAGATTAGACTTTGACCCATAGGAGGTCTTTTTCCAAACCTATTTGCAGCATGAGAGTGATTTCAGGGTGGGGGTCATGGCTGGGGGACAGAAGAGTTGCGACGCACATGTGGTGCCCACAAATTATTTTTGGTGACCCCTGTGGTAAATCATCCATGTCTAGAAGCACCCACAAAAACTGAACTCAGTACCACAGGAGTCCAATAGAAAGTGGCCATCAAGTTATAAAACATGTGGGGAAAGTCCTTTCTCTTCCCCTCCTGCATGCCATATTGAATATATGGTGGCCATCTGTTCCGCTTTGCATAGGGCATTCTTCTTTTGAAGGTCTGCCAGTCCAAGTCCAGTTTAAGGTTAAAGTGCAGTAAGAAGGGTGAGCAAGAGGGAACCATGAAGTTGCCAATCAACTGGTAGCATCTGTACAACTGACTGAGCAAACCTTATGCCAGTGGTGGGTGGAGCCAGAGGCCAAAATGGGTGGAGCAATTAATGTAAATATTTGAACATTTAGCTAGTTTCACTTCCTAATTGGAGGAGAGGACACTTGCACAGTCCTCTCTATCTTCAATCCAGGCAAGAAAAAGGCACTATTAGAGTTTAAGGACACATTCCAAGCAGAAAAAA